GGCGGCCCCTCGTTTGTAAACAACCTTAAAGTCTGGTGCAAATTATCGCCGATGGTCGCAGAGCGACCCGTCCATCGCTTCCCGCCGACGAGCGCAATATCGCCGAGATTTTGGAGAAGCGGCCAACCTGACGTTGCGCGCTCATAATCTCCCTCCACGCCGATAAACAACCGCGCCACGGCCTTAAATTTTAACTGGGTTGTGCTTCACCGGTGATTATCTTTTGTGATGGTGTTATTGTAAATTTATGTTGTATGAATTATAAATTTCCCTTGTGATTTTTTTAATTGTTCGTGATTATTCTTAAGTGGAATAACTCAGGTCAACTTATTCCTTGTCACATTTTAAGTTTCTTATTCTTTGTTTACAGATCCTAACTCAGTTTTCACGATCAGTTAGCATCAGTGCGAGCCATTCGATGAGTTTATTTTGGGTTAATTTTTTTGTTCCCGTATATGTATTCATCAGTATCAACAAGTGCCTTCGTTATCAATGAGGTGTAAAATGTGCCATAAAGGCAGCTGGTAATCAGGCTCACGCTTAGTGTGCTCGAGACTCTCGGAAGAGGACGTTTTTCACCACGTTTGTAAAGAAAACGAATTTTCTCACAAGCTGAGCAATCTGGTAGAACTCATACGCAGGCTACGCAACTTACAAATCCATAATTATGAGCCTCAAGAAAGTCTTCTGTCTGCTTGTGTTCGTTATAATCAGTGAAAAGATTATTCAGTTTCTTGGCCTCTACTTCTAATTAATATTCGCTGCAAATCTTAAAATACGAAGTAAAAATGCATAAGCAATTGAGAAATTTTTACTATGAAAATGTATTGTGCATAGTTTAATATTTCTTAATTGATCGTTAACAGACAAGTTATCCCATGTGGCAAGAGCATTACGAGAAAATATCTTTTTTGACACATGCACGGTCTCATGAGAATATCTATTTGGCAGAGATATGTCAAATTCAATGTGTTCAACTTATTAAAATTACATTGCTGTATACAATTTTCTTTAGCTTCCGATAAACCTTGAGCAAGTTTTGTGCAAACATGTCTAAGCAATTTTAGAGTCTATTTAGTGATTCATTTTTTATGTTTTGTGATTCATATAATATTCCTTCGACATGCACTCTCGAATTATATGGGCAGTCAAAAATTTTAAAACGTGACGATATGTTCAGATTTCAACTTTTTAAATTCATAATGAACTTTTACCATGATAAACGTCTTTTTAAATCTGCATTCGCCCCTCTTGTTCCCAACATTGTCACAACACTAAATAGGGGCGTTCGGTTTAACTTACCACAGGTTCATTTAGAAATGGAAAGACGCGGTACCGTTTTGAATTGTGTCGCATATTTTAACGAATTGTCAGGTGAGTTCAAACAAGATTGCTCCAAAAATTAAAAATAAAATTCTGTGACTTTATCCTTAACCAGTATTAATTTGATTTCGATTAATATGTAAGTTTTAAAAATTTTGGCTAGATGTTTGCAGTTTTACCCTGTTTTACTTAGTGAAATGTTGATATTGCCTCTATTATCCCGATTTATCTGTTATGACATGCGGTTATCAGTTTTTTAAGGCTTTTGTCAATGGTTTTGATTATTTTAGAAATTTCTTACTTGTTTGTCCTCATCGTCGTCTTGTTATCATTGGAAATGAGTTTTGTACTACCTGTTGTGTTGCCTCAGATGGCAACACAATATGCCTTATGACAGCAACACTATATATGCCTTATACCGTTTTTAGCTTATATGGGCATTCACCTCGAAGCCTTTGCCTGGAATTTCCCAAATTTTACTTCACGTCGGTTTTATATTTCATTATAACGTGTGCTTCTGTGGGAATAAATAAATGAATCAATGCCGAAGAATTTACTTTGTTTTCTTTGCTTGATTTTCTTGTGTGATTTGTGTAGCTTACATAAAATATGAACTGTCTCATTCGAAATATTTTAAAACAATTTGGGAAATTTCCCGAAAAATTGTTAATTCATTGTGATATGAAATTTTCTCGTTCATTATGACAGGCGCAGCGGCAATCGAGTGCCCCGCTCGCTACGAGGTCGTTGGGTCCAAGTGCATCCACCGCCTGCCTGGTGGTTACCTCACGCACGACTTGCTACTGATGTTGCTACTTATGTCGACGATGGATGTGAGATTATAACGTCATGAAGAATCCAACTTGATTCCTACGCCAACGTTAAACTAAATAAGTCTTTCTCAACTTTCTCATCAAGACGTCCCACATAGCACAAGACACAATACGTAATTTGACTGAATTAAGTAGCTTATTCTTCGTCAATCTTTTACTTATTTTTAACAATATCAATTTTCAATACCAAACTTCAAAATTAACTTCAACGTCACCCTTTAATCAATAAGACATTCACAGGGTATTGCTATATTATCCTTCGAAGCTTCACTATACACTCAAGTCTTCAGCCCTTATTCTCTAATATCTGAATCGGTATCGATAGTGTGATGCGTTTAAATGCAAAATACACTGCACCCCTCCATTGATCAAGCCTGAATTGTTAAGCACCTCCTGTTTCCCCATGTGTTCTGTCAGACTTAGCGGACGCCATCAACGGCTACTGGCTGGGCGCCACCAACTCGTCGGTGAACTACGTCTGGCAGTGGAACGACGGCACCGCCGTGCAGATAGGCGCTCCGTTCTGGGCTTACGTGAGTGACTTGATGCATTTTACGGATACAATATAATCTGTTTTAAATGATACAAAATAGTACATGAAATAAGGACAAGACATAAAGAAACGCCAAGCTAGAAGCAACGCAAAGCCACATGATAAGAGGATGCTAAATAAGTCAATTTTACCTTCTCCTACCTATTTTTCCATTTTCATGTTTTTGCGACCATTATGGTATCAATATTAAAGAATTAACGTCTGAGCTCAGAGATAAATTGAAAATAAGTATAATAAACTTTAGTTAAATTTAAATGTGCTCGTACGTTCGTCATAAAATCAGAATTTGAGTACCTGTATAATTTTAAAATAGGATCAGTGTTAGGCTCTCTACAGAATTGGGCCGCTGGTGGGAAGACAGAGCCCAACAACGCCTTTACGGGAGAAAACTGCGCGATGATAGGCGCCCCCCGAGGCTGGCTGCTCAATGACTTGATGTGTACCTCATCAGGCTTCGTCGTTTACGCATTGTGCTCAAGAACTCCGACGAATGGTGAGGGTCTTTTTAAGCAGTGTCTCCCCGAGAAAGAAAAAATTGATTGCCTGAAACGAGTATAGCACATTTTAGTTTACGAATGAATTTTGACGCTGGTTTCAAGCCTCGGTAAAGACTAAGATTATTATGACCAATTGGGTTTCAATATTTATTTTAGTTAGAGCAAGTCTGCAAATGCTTTCGTCAACAAATTCTACACTCAACTCAACGGTCTCATTTATAACAAATGAATTGACGTAACCGCCATATTTGGAAAAGTTATCGTTAAAGAACTATATAATGCTTACAAAAATTATAATTCTATTTATAACCGCGATTATCTGATCATTTCGTCGTATTTTCATTTTGTTCGACACACCATGAACTTTTTGTTACTGGCAGGTTTGTGCGCCACTCCGTACGTCTTGGTGGGCAAACAGTGCATTCATTTGCTTCTGGCCAATTATGATAGCTGGCGCGCTGCGCGCACCGCATGTGGAGCGACAGGAGGAGATCTAATAATTCTAGAGGACTGCGACCAGTACAGCAAGGTTACCTCCTACTTAATCCATCAAGGTAAACAACTATAAAATTTAATTTCAGCATTTTGCGTTAAAGTATCTTGCCTAAAAATTTGAATTTCTTCGAGACCAACATCATTCCGACAGAGCATGGACATTCTCATGATCTATGTACCACTGAGAGGAGATCTACAATTCTCGAACCCATGCATATAGAGCTGTGTTTCATTCCCGTAATTCACCCGCGTACTACTCAACAATGCAACGATAATGGTACCACAGTTCAAATAGTTTAATTAAGTTTCATCGCGGCATATCTCTTCAAGCTTCACTGGGGCCGGGAATGAAACTCAAACAAGTTGGAAATAACTCGAACCGTCAATTTAGAATCTTTAAAATTTAAAGGCGAACCTTTTTCTTTCTCACTTTTATTTAAAAAATAAAAACTGTATATATATATGTATATTTTCAAATTTTTTACCATATTCTTTGACTGCAAATTGGTAGGATTTATCATTTGAAGACTATGAATACCATTTATGGAAGAACTCATGTTTCAAAATAAGTTCCAATTCAGTCCTTTCAGTTTTTCGATGCCAAACTATTCACCTACCAAGATAAATTTTCATATCCAGGCAATATCCAGACACGATCAGTATCCTGGATACGCGCCCCAACAGTCCTTATATATACAATATCCCTACCCGATATGAATCCTGGATACGCGCCCCAGCAATCCCAATGTACAATATCCTGAAACGATGAGTATCCTGGATGCCCGCCCCAACAGACCCAATAAACAATATCCTGAAACGATGAGTATCCTGGATACGCGCCCCAGCAGTCCCAATGTACAATATCCTGAAACGATGAGTATCCTGGATGCCCGCCCCAACAGACCCAATATACAATATCCTGAAACGATGAGTATCCTGGATACGCGCCCCCAGCAGCCTCCTAATACAATATACCGACACGATCAGTATCCTGGATACGCTCCCCAACAGCCATTATATGCAATATCCTGACACGATAAATATCTTGGATGTGCCCCTGCATCTCCTATATATTGCGTCGCCAGGGTTCGAACACGCTCATAAACACTTTGAAAATTCTATGTAAGATTTAGAAGACAAATGAGAAGTACTACGCATTTCTAACTAGAGTATAATGTGAGTAGTAGGTTCTATCTGAAATGTGTATTGTAAATTTTAGCGGGTCCTTCATTTATTTGCGTTCATTAGTTCTACTCTTACTATTGGGATCCTGCGGTAACGAGTCTACAATTGCGAGGATTATTTACCGATCCCAGGCAACGCCGAGCTAACTTGGTAGTTGTTTTTATGCGATGTTTCAATTTCGTTTTAGTTTGTAATGTTTTCACGTCTCTTCACATGACAAGGCTACAACCCTGAAGGATATTGGATCGGTGGCTCGGATGAAGCCTTAGAGGGACAGTGGTGCTGGATTGACGGTTCTCCAATGACAATGGGGCTGCCATACTGGGCAAATGTAGTTCAGGTATTTATACAGTAATCGTTTGAATTGTGATACGTTATGAAACTTTGCTAGTGAACATTTATTAGGGATATGTAAGAGTTTTTATTTTGGAAAACTCCACTCACAGTGCTAGTAAAATAAATAACAGAGTCGAAACAGAAGCAAATTAATGCAATAATGTCATTCATTGCTGGGGTAATGTGAGGTATCCTTACATCAATTTAGGGTTAAGGTTACCGCGCATAAGCCTTGAATAATTGTCTATATGACTCCTGTTGGGGAAACCGCACATAAAACTTGTCTATTGGACTCGGGTTATAGGGATACCGCGTATAAAACTTGTATAATGGACTCAAGTTATAAGGATACCGCGCATAAAACTTGTCAATTGGACTCAAATTATAGTGGGAGCATTTATAAACTTATTGCACCCGCATAAAACAGTTATCATACGAAATGTGATGTTATGAAGCAGTATTTTTATATAATATTTAGAAAATGTATTAGTTTCCATTTTAGTAACTCTAATTACAAGGCAAGTAAAAGTTATGAAATCAAAATAGAAGTAGGTCAATTCAATAACGCCATCCATTGATTGGTATAATGGGTGAGTCCGGCTGCAATAATAAATGGCTGCTCCTCACTGCAATATTAAGCTCCCACCCCAATTAAGATGGAAATAAGACGATCAAGCTAAAGACAGGATTCTATTACTATTTGGAAGAACAAGCAAAAACGCCTTTTATCTTAGACTTAGCTCTATACATGGCGGTATAGGTAACAAAATCATCGAAGAGGAACGAGTATGAAGGGGGGACAGAAATCCGTAAGTCGACCGTCAGGCCGACTCACTGCCATTACAGTGAGTACTGCATTACTGCGGTCTTGACAGCTGCCTACTGGGCCTGTCTTACTTGAGTGTCACGTCCTTTTAAAAACATGGTGCTGGGCCTGTCTTACTCGAGTGTCACGTCCTTTTATAAACATGGGGCTGGGCCTGTCTTACTTGAGTGTCACGTCCTTTTATAAACATGGTGCTGGGCCTGTCTTACTTGAGTGTCACGTCTTTTTATAAACATGGGGCTGGGCCTGTCTTACTTGAGTGTCACGTCCCTTTATAAACATGGGACTGGGCCTGTCTTACATGAGTGTCATGTCCTATTATAAATATGGTGCTGGGCCTGTCTCTTATACACATCTAGATGTGTATAAGAGACAGGGGTTAGAGTTAGGGTTTGAAGTGTCTAAAACCCTTCTTTAGGTTGCTAGAGACCGTTTTACTGAGGTTAGGTCCAGCCAGGTCAAGTTTTTTTTATATATTTTTTGCAATTTAGAAAAAAAATTAATTAAAGTCCGGTAAAGTGGAACTATAACTATATATATATNATTTAAATTATTTTCACATTGAATCCCTCGTTGATACTCAATTCTTAATTATTATAATTTTATGAAGCGATTATCGTGGCATCCGACGATTATCGTGGCAAACAAATTGCGAAAGCACTTTACACACAAGTTTAATAGCAAGCGAAAAATACAAAGGCACAAGGAAGGGTGAGAAAGGATAAAAATGACTAAACACAAGATTCATTGGCTATACGGAATAGTTCCGTCTTTAGGCAACAAAACATCGGCGACGATGAAGCCGATGGTTAGGAAACCGCCAGAGAGTTTAGGTATTGCTGGCTGGGACCGGGAACGCTCTGTGATGGGCGGTAGATGAACGTGTAGGCTGTAGACGGTACCAGGAGGTCTGCTAATGATGACGAACGCAGTCGTCTTCTAGAAGGCAGATCCGACACGCGCCGCAGACCTTCTGCAAGATAAGGAGGTACCAAATCGTAAAGGCATCGGAACGTCAGAATAGTGACCATGAACTGCATGCGCAGTCAGTGAATATCGCGTAATATCAGCGTCACGTGGTCGAATTTTTGTTTATCGTACACGATTCGTGCAGCAGCGTTCATTACGAGAAGCAGTTTAGTAAGTACCGTGGTTGAAAGTTCATAGAGTTTCATTGCCATGATCCAATCTGGTCAGAATGAGCCCACCACGAGGTCCTCTAGGACCAGACTCGCGAGACATCGGCTGAGCGCCAAAACAAGCGCTTGTGACCATAGCAATATGGTTATTCAAAGAAAGTTCGGTGTCCAGCTCAATGCCGGGGTTGCGAACTAAAGATGCAGGAGTGACGAACTTGTTTCCCACGTGAACAGGTTGGCCGGAAGCTGATGCTGGCGCCGAGCAGTCGTAAAAAAATAAGATCGGTTTTTGATGCATTGAGCCGAAACCGGTATAAATGCACCCAGTCCGAGACGGCGTCTGTGCCTGTCTCTTATACACATCTAGATGTGTATAAGAGACAGCTCTATATCTGCGAGGCGCAGCTCCTTTATGTCAGCGAGGCGCAGCTCCTTTTTGTCAGCGAGGCGCAGCGCCTCTATGTCAGCGAGGCGCAGCCTATATATAAGTAGATTTTCGAAGTAGTCACACCACAAAAAATGTAAATGATCAATATTCCCTGAAAAAATGTTATTATAATTATAAAACGTGATTAATATACGTACTTAAATTGGTGAAAAATTCAAATTAACATCCATATTTTTTGCTGTTTTACAGTTCGATGACCAATAAAGATAGTTTGATTGTGTTGAGTCCTTTTCTTCATCATGTTATTTTCTATAGAAAATGCGACAACATTATTCCACTTTTAATTCTAGGAAAATATTTATGGATTGTTTTACTTACAAAGCAACATAATAACATGCAATTTTTTGCAACATGAACTGTCAATTTCCTTGAAAAGCTGGTGGGCGGCAAACACGTGACCTGTTAAATAGGCGGAGAAGGCGAGGAGTACAGTGACGGAGAAGGCGAGAGAGTACAGAGCGGAGAAGGCGAGGAGTACAGAGCGGAGAAGGCGAGGAGTACAGTGACTTCTTAAGACGATTGCAGCAAGAAAACTAAATCTGCAATAGATGACGATGTTCCGTTAGGCTTTTAATCTATATAGTTTGAGAGTTTACGATTAATAAATTCAATATGAAACACCTTTAAAATTCCAATTGCTGTTCCAAAATAAGATCGTAGGTTTAAGGAATAGATGCATGAATATCTAAGAAGGGTAGTTTCTACTCAGATTTGTGTTCATGAGGTAAAATAGTAAAGAATATAAGCTTCCTAGGAAGCGGGAGAAATTCCCAAATGACTCGTTCACGCTGAATGGGTCACAGATCATGAAGATGCCTCATCACTTGCCCAAGAATCATAAACGACAATTGTCAATAACATTTTTTATAGATGGTAAGAGAATTTGTTGGAAAAATAATTGTAAGCTTGGGTAAATCAAATCTATTATTTCAGTTATTTAATACATAAAAATTCGATTTCATTGAATAATTTCACTAAATAAAAAAAATACATTTTAAAAGATTTCATACTCATGGCCCATCCTTTCAATGCTCTTTTTGTGCCACTGACATCAGCTGTCGATCACAGAATATAATGGAAACTCAGGTGGAAAAAATTTGCATTTTTGTCCATTCCTAATGTATAGTATAAATAAGTTTGATAGGAGGGATAAGTTTGATATTTGGAGATAGGGTTTAGATAGGGATAAGTTTGATATTGTAGGTTTAAATGGTGACCCAGCAGATATTCAACACCGTCGAGAATGTTTAGGCTCAAATACATAAGGCCATTCTTGGGATTGACTGTGAGTCTAAGAATTTGATGACGCACATTGCCGGATATCTTTTTCATCCATATCTTTTTATGACGTGTTAAGAGCTTCACTTGTGCGGGTTCCTTGGCGTTTGTGCGGTGTAAACCTGATCTCTTATTTAATTTTTTTTTATAATTGGTTTTAAGACTTGTGGTGCACGAAGCACTTCTCAGCCTGTTACCTTTCAGAAATTTAATTTGTTGTTTATCTCTTTAATCATGTGTTTCAGCTCCTCAAGCTACAGATTTATGATAGACACGCATTATAAGGAGCGTACAATGTACACTCCATGGCAGTACATCTCCACCAACAGTAAACCATACATTTTGTCTTTACCTAACTCTAGAAATTTTTTGAGTTGCAGATTTTGCCATCCGTCTCGATGGAAGCGTAAAAAAGGAGGGTTGGATTCCAGGCATCGCCATCTTCTCTGTGATGCTGCGATCGTTACAGTCACGGCCTACAGTGACTGTACAGTTGTTTGTTGAAAAACCGTTCTCTGTTGTCCGCCAAGGCGAACTTCAACAGATCAATGTCGAAGACATCGTTGTTGGTGACATATATATAGTTCAAGTTAGCAACTCTTATTTATGTTTCGAGAAAAATCCCATTTATTTGAGTTGTGTGGTGCATAATAAAGGTATTCCTTCAGCAAATTGCAATAACCCTTCCAATAATCCATATTAATTGAATTATTCCAAGTCCAACCGAGTTCAAAGCAGCAGTCTATCCTCTTTCTTTCGCATTTTGTACATGTACGCAGTACAGATAAAACAAGCTTAAATTGGTTTCAGGTGCAATTGTCAGCAATAAACATTTATAAGTTTTATTATCCGGTCGGAACAAAATTTTCTGTATTTTGAACTTCATCTGCTATTTAAGCTTGCCTTGCACTGCGCTGGTTGAGTACGGCGACCTGCTGCCTGCCGACTCCATTCTGCTGCAGAGCAGAGACTTGACTTTAGACGAGTCCTCCTGCACTGGCGTGTCTCAACCTGTGATAAAAAGCGTCCAGTTGAACCCTTTGCTTTTTTCGGGTGTGTATTGCTTATAATTTTCACCAGTCATGCTTCTATCTAGCTTTACAACGGAGAATAGTTTTTTCGAACAACGATAATAGGCCTCCGTCCAGGCCTCATAATTTTAGAATCAGTATTTATACTGCCCCAATACTGCGCAGCGCTACCGGCTTTTTTCCACTCTACTAAGCACACAAAATTCAAGGGAAATAATAAATATGTAATCATGTTAGAGTGTTTAACCATTGTTCAGAGATGATGGTTGTGTTATTCATGCGTATGGTCGCAGGCTGCCACGTCATTGGGGGCGCCGGCAAGGCGCTGGTCACGGGTGTGGGCGTCAACTCACAAGCCGGTATCATCCTGAGCGGTGCTGACGTGGACGCAAAGGCAGCCGAAACCGAGGAGAAATAAATGAAAAGAATATGTGTGTTCTGTTTTCTCCTTTGGCTGCGCATTATTAAATTTGAATTAGTGACCTTTGTACAAATTAAATCACAATCGTCATCAACGTTCGCCCTTGTAGAAATAAAGGAAAATGGAAACATATCACCTGTCATTGTTTTGTGTTTTTTACACATAATTTAAATTTATAAAAATACATCTGAAATTCCATTCTACACAGCTATTATTCATTTTCAATGGATGTGTTAGATGTTTCGGTTATAATTATCCGTTTTAATAGCCACCAGCTCGGCTGCTTGGGTTACTGGCGGCTTTTTCAAGAAGAAGAGCCTCGGGAAATGCGGCGATGAAAAAGCCGATTCAGACGAAAAAGAAGGTGGCGATGAGAAGACCAATTCATAAAAGAGAAAAAATGGCTATGAAAAGGCTAATTCAGAAGAAGGAAAAGGCGCCGAGGTCCACAGTATGGAGAACAAGATTGCTCTTGGTGCGAAGATCGCCAAAATCCGGAAAATAATCCTCATCAATGGTTAGCTCGTTCAATATCAAACCCAAACACTCCATCAAAATACATTTTTAATTAAAAGTTTCAGAATAGTTTTAAGACGTTAGAAATTTAGCAGAAAATATAATCGTTCAATTTCAACATTTCGGTAATTTATTTATAAATTTCGTCTGAAATCAATTTTAATTTGAGTTTACAGATATGGTGTGCAAGTAACTGTTGACGGATTTTTTTCAATCAGCTTTGATTTAGTTCATCCATTATGAATTTTTCCCCCTCAGTGTTGAATTTTATGATACCGGACTATTTTGGGGATAATTTTTTAATCGTCCAATATCTCACGATTTTTATGGACTTTTTTACTTGCCACAGCGATTTACCTCTGTAAAAATATGCTTTATAAACTATTTCTGATAATCTGAATCTGTGTGCACATGTAATTTTTCTCACCTTGGCAATGTTGCTTACGACAGGCTCTTCGATAGCTGCCTTGACGGTGGTCATCCTCGAAATTCGATTCTGCATTGAGAAATTTGCCGTTGAGAAGAAGGAATGGAGCGGCTTCTACACCCTCCACTTTGTCCAGTTTTGTACAGCCGGTGTAACTGTTTTCGTCGCGTCTGTGCCGGCCGGACTTCTTGTTGCCGTTGCATTGTCTCTGCCTTCTAGGTTATGGTCTGTTTTTTTCTATGCTCTGTAACGTAGTGACATAGTGAGATAAAGGCTTTAGCGATGACGATAATGTTATAAGTTAAAAATCGAATCAAATACGAAAAATATTTTTTAAGTTATTCTAATTTTCGCTGCAAATATTGCCAGCACTTTTCCTCGTCAAATACTTTATTTTTTCTCCGTCTACGTATTATTTTTCATTTACAGTACGTCCTAACGAAAAGGAATATTTTTTCAGTTTTCCGCTGTTCGGAACTTGTTTCTTCATATTATGTCATTTCATTTTTATTTTACCTGATAATTTATTGACGTTTTATAATGACCGAATTGTTCTTCGTTTCACAGAAGATGATGAAGGATAACCACCTTGCCCGTGACTGGCACAGCTGCGAGATACGAGGCAAGGTCACAAGGAATTTTCACTGTTCCCTTTACCACGTTTTACTGAAATTCTTTTTCCTCTACAATTTTGCATAATTCAAGAATGAAAAGTTAAATCAAGCCGCATATTTACAACAATTGTTCTACCATTTTTAGCAACGCTGCATGACCATCGTCTTGGTTACTGAAATTCGTTGGTTAATTGTCATGGAAACGGCGTTAGTTTACAGCGAAAATTTTCTGGTGTTTAAGATCTACCAGCGTCAGCTTATCGCTCTGATTGCTGGATCATTTTGATTATAACAAAAAGGAGGGAAGGAGTAGACTTTCTGTCCGTGATCGAGGACGCCCGTACATGTTTGCGGGTCCCAATTGTCTCACTTTTTTCTATGCCCGGTTGACTTATCTCTCGAATTTGTACCGAAACAATTTCAGTGAATGGTTCAATTTCAGTGTAGTTTAGTAAAAATGGTGCAAATAGTGCAAAAAAGCGGCTAGTGCAAGTATTTTATTCCTGACAAATGCAATGCAAGGAGTGAGGGTAGCTTGTAGCTTGTTGACAACCCTCGACGAACGCCTATCAATCGGGGAACAATGGAGCCTTAATTAAGCACGCTCAGGTCGGCCTCGTCTTCCTATACCCTCTCCTACCCTCATGGCCAGCCCTAGCTCTTCCTACCGCCTTCCAATCTGCGAGTTGCGTGTCTGCGACGGAATCTGACTCTACTCAAGTCAAGTCAGTTTTAAACTTGTGTTTTCCTCCGTGCATTGTACGATGGCTGGACAGAGAAAAAAAGGTAGATGAAAAGCCCACTAGTTCTGCTAGACAAAAGTCTTAAATCAAATCAGCTAAGTTGGAGATGAAAGTTTGCAAACACTGCAAAGAGATGTCTGTGAGCGGGGCAGATCAGACAGACATCTTTGAACGCTGCGAAGACTTCATTTATATCAGCTGTTAGAAGTTGAGCTCTGATGAATACTCGTTTCTCCAGAGCACTAAATTACTTCATTGGCTTTGTCGTGACTGCGAAGAACCAACCCTTGGTATTTGAAAAAGGGAAAAGGCGGTGGCAGAGCAAGGCAATGAGACGAAATCGCTGTATGATGTATTACACGCCTTGAGTGAGATGGTGCGCTCGTTGAGTGAAAAATTGAGCTTGCTATGCAATGAGCTGACTGAAGTGAAGGCTCAGCTGAAAAATACGGAATACGGAAAAAAATTGAGGTAAAGACTCAGAGAGTTTATTTATCCGAAGTTGCTAGCGAAAACTCCCGCAAGTTACTGAACAGAGAACGTAGGAAGTGCAACTTGGTTTGGTTTGGAGAGACCCGAGAGTTCCGCATCTGATACGAAAGACCGAGTGATGGCTGATACTGAATTTATTGCAGAATGGTGTAGCAAGGCATTCAGCACACCGGTTGATATCACATCGTGCAAGAGGCTACGCTCGAAGGATGCTGCTTCCAACGCCTGCATACCTTTGTTGGTGGCTGTACAGGATCCTGCACAGGTTGGGAGCGTGCTGAAGGCAGCGAGAAAGCTTGGAGAATCTCCTGAGTACAACTTCATTTTTGTAAAGAAGATTTTACCACTTTAGAGAGAGAGGATTTTCGCAAGAAATGGCAGGAGAGAGTCAGGCGGAAAAGCACGGAAAATGAGGTCAACCACTCTTGCAATGTCAAGGCAACACCGGCCACACACGATCAGCTAGCGGAGCTGAAAGACAAGTAAACAGTACCAGTAGAAGTCATGTCCACAGTTCCAGACCTGTAAGTAATGTGAGAAGTAACCGCATAAATCGAAGTTAAAGTGCACAAAAAGTTTTAAAATGTTTTTACACGAACTCGGATTCCGTTTTGAACAAAAAAGTGAACTGTTAACTGTGATCGTAATTGAGTGTATATAGACATTATTTGTATTGCAGAAACATTTCCTAAAAATCACGGGGGGAAAATTGTACCTGCTGAATTTCAGCTGCCAGGTTTTGATTGTTTTCATAACTTAAATGAAGAGCAGTGCAGTAGAGATGTAGCTCCGAGGATTAGAACCTCATATGGGGCCCAGCAAGTTAAGTTATCTGCAGAGCATCAATCAGCTAGAGAATCAGTGTGGTGCGAACTTGCTCTAAAAGGCAAGGACAGCCTCCTCATAGGGTCTTTTATAGATCACCTAACAGCTCCTCTGATAACGATAAAGTTCTAATCAGCATTTTACCGATCATGACTTTCAGCAGGTCGCATACGTTGATCGTTGGTGACTTTAACCATCCATAAATAGACTGGGCAGATGAATCTTCTCCAAGTGATGGGAATCACCCAGCATCCCTGTTCTTGTAGTCTGTGCGAGACTCAATTTTAATCCCGAACATCACCAAGCCAACCCATTTTAGGGGTAAAATGACCCCAAATATTCTAGATCTAATGTCCACTAGTGAAGAATCAATGATAGATGTGCTTCGCCAAGAGGCTCCGTTGGGCAAAAGCCACCACCAATCATTGCTTTTCAGTATGAAGGGTTGTGAAGATAAGACGCCTCGGAAGCGTGAACGTTTGAACTTTGCGGAAGGCGACTATGATAAACTCCGTGAAGCAGTGAATGAGGCGAATATTTCGGACGGTATTAAAGACATGAATGTGGCTGATTCATGGTCATTTCTGAAAGACACGGTAATGTCTGCAGTTGATGCCTGTGTACCTAAGTTGACAGTATTCTTTCAAAACCCTTGAACGAAGGAACTTTGTCATCCGATTAGAAAGAAGCTCAAATAACACCATTGTTCAAAAAAGGTGACAAAAGCAGCCCCAGTAACCATCGCCCTGTCAGTCTGACAAGTGTTTGTAAGCTAATGGAATCTATTGTGAGGGACAGGATTGTCGATCACTTGACTGTTCACCATCTCCTATCAGACTGTCAACATGGCTTTATTGTCGATAGATCCTGCACCACTAACTTATTGTATACGTTGAACGATTGGAGCATTGGACTCGCCTGCTGGACGAAAGAGAGCCAGTGAATGCATTGTACCTCGATTTTGCCAAAGCATTTGACAGTGTTCCGCACAAGCGGCTGTTGAGTAAAGTGAAGTCTTTTGGATTAGAGGGAAACTTACTCCAATGGATCAGAGATTTTCTAGTAGGTAGACGACAACGTGTCAGTATTAACGGAACCGTGTCAGACTGGTCATCAGTGCGCAGTTGCGCGCCACTGCAGGGAAGCGTTCTTGGGCCTATTTTGTTCGTTGTTTTTATTTAAGATCTGCCAGAAGTAGTGTTCAGTGCGTGCTCCATGTATGCCGATGACACAAAAGTTTACGATACAGTGAAGGATGCGTCAAATAGAGCGCATTAGCAAGATGATCTTGACAGTTTAGTTAACTGGGGTAATACGTGGCAGCTGCGGTTTAATGCTGACAAGTGTAAAAAGTGTAAATTACTTCACCGCGGGAAGAACAATGAACAGCAAGATTACAGTATGAGAAGACATGGTTGCAACGAGAGAGTAATGATTGAAAAGTTTAGTGTGGAAAAATATCTCGTAGTTTATGTCGACAAAGAGCTGAAATTTTCTAAGCATGTTGAAACGCAAGCTAATACATCCATCAAACTTCTTGAACTAATCAGACGCTCTTACGAGTTCCTTGATGCGGGTGCGATGAAGCAGTTGTTTGTTGCTGTCGTGCGCCCGAATCTTATAGAGTTTGGAAACGTTGTGTGGTCACCGAGATTTGAAAAGGACAAAAATTCAACAGAGAATGTTCAAAGACGTGCAACAAGGATAATTCCAGGCATGAAAGGCAAGTCATATGAAGAAAGATTAAAGATTATGAAGTTTCCAAGCCTCAGTTATCGACGTCTGTGCGGGGACCTCAATGAAGTATACAAGTATACTCATTGTTTATACAAGATTCCCGAAGGATTACTAGAATTTGAAACAAGAACCAACACCAGGGGCCACGGCTATAAACTAAAAAAACTGCGCTGCAACTTATCCACGAGACAACATTTCTTCTCGCTTCGAAGCACAGACGTGTGGAACAGCCTCCCCGATTACATCGTTGGCACTCCAAGCATGAACGCGTTCAAGAAAGACTAGATAAAGCTATGGAAAAATATATGTTCAGACTTGAAATGCCTAGCACCATATCGAACCCGGGGGAAGTCTAGTAGCAATTTCAAACTATCGTCAGTCCTGAAAAGATCCGGTCAAATGACACGATTTTAGATCTTCTGTGGACAAGTCATGAAAAGTAAAAGAATCGGCAACAGGCCACAGCAGGCCTACTCTTCAACGCCGACATCACTATGTTATGTTATGTTCTAATAGTTAACAAGACCACTTCACTCACCGCCAACCGGATGAGAGTTGTATAGAGCTACGTTGGAGACATTTTCCCGGTTAGATCTTCATACACTCTCACCGGGGAGATCCGTACGATTTTACGTACATACGTATAAAAAGCGATGAGTAAAGCTTAAAATTTTCTTCTGAAATAATATGCATGACAGCTAACATTGTGCACCTGAGTTTCCCGTAAATTTGTTTCCATTCAAGTGCTAGTGCTAACTTTATTAACTTTAATTAACTCATGGACAACTCATTAACTCAATTCGAAAAAGGCATAAATCAGCGAGTTTGCCTGAGTAATGCCCATTTAGCAACCCTGGTACTTACGAGAGCCCACTAAGGTCATTCGTCTCTCATCCTAAAAAACTTCATCTGAAATAGTTTATTCTTTGCGCTGTCAAGCGGCTGCATTGATAAATCGAACTTTTGACTAATACTGAAGCGGCACTTTTTAACGTTTTTAATTAAAATATAATGAATTTCTAAGGCGTTTTCTCTGCCTCAAAGTTCTTGTCATGGGTGAAATTTAACCATGGCACTTATTTCTCTAGTAAACTCGAGGTTATAATCCCGCGAGGCTCGAATTACCCGTAGGTGTGAAGTACCTGAGGTACTTCATTTGCACTTTAGAGAGCTTAATCTTCCTTGGCTCTTCAGAAACACAAGACAAAAACTTATTACATCAATTTATTTCATGCTTTCATCTGAGTCGATTACTTTATTTGTATGCGCCTTGTTTTATGGGCTCTACTTTACTTATTTTACTACTCAAACTGATCCGAGCACGTTTGCTCTTGTCGCCTGCAACACGTGCGACAAGAGTGTAATTTTAGAGAAAAATTAAGTGTTAAGAGTTCTAAAAACGGACGGTTGCAAAACGAGATCTATTAATGAATCAGATATATCTAATAGATAATTCAGAAATTATTATTGACGGTCTATACTTTATTTTATGTATAATATATTAGCAGGATAGCACTGCGTTGACCTGGATGGAAAATTTTCGCAATCTGATTATTTTCCGTAACTTGATGTGTGGTGCCATATGCCCCCATCCGTAATTTAATGTGTGGACCATATGCCCCCATCTGTAACTTAATGTGTGGGGCCATATATGCCCCCATCTGTAACTTAATGTGTGGGACCATATGCCCCCATCTGTAACTTAATGTGTGGGACCATATGCCCCCATCTGTAACTTAATGTGTGGGACCATATTCCCCCATCTGTAACTTGATGTGTGGGGTCATATGCCCCCCATCTGTAACTTAATGTGTGGGGCCAAATGCCCCCATCTGTAACTTAATGTGTGGGGCCATGTGCCCCCATCTGTAACTTAATGTGTGGGGCCATATGCCCCCATCTGTAACTTAATGTGTGGGACCATATGTCCCCATCCGTAACTCAATGTGTGGGGCCAAATGACACAAGTCGTTGAACACTACATTTATCAGCAAAAATTTTTTGTTCTTCTATTTGGTTTCAAGAAGAATTTGTTAATTTCATCATAAACTGAATGGATATTCAATCACCTCCAGTGCAATCTGATCCACTGATGAGATTATGAAAAGAAGGTCTCATTCTCCGTGCACTACGTTTACGTGTTCTAACGTCAAAACGCCTAGGTGTCTCAAAATCGCAAATTTCGAGTTACCTGAATGTTTTCAAAACACATGGGTGTTCCGATTTGGGCACGATCGCTCGAGAGGCTTTTAAACACCCAAGTGTTTTGAAACAGGAGGCCTTTTTCTCTCAGTGTTTGAGTTGCCGGGCCTATACCGGGACGAGTTTCCTGAAGA